ACAATAGACTACCCAATATCACAATAGACTACCCAATATTACAATAGACTACCTAATATTACATGAGACTACCCAATATTACATTAGACTACCCAATATTCCAATAGGCTACCCAATATTCCATTAGACTACCCAATATTACAATAGACTACCCAATATTACAATAGACTACCCAATATTGTCACTGTTATTTGCATTATGTGCACACAGCAAAAAGCCCATGAATATTTATGAAACCTCATTAAACCTTTTCATGCACGGAAACAAATATACAACATATAGTAAACAGACGAGACTAAATAGCAGTGAGGCAGTGAGGGCATTGACCCTATTAAAGATATTAATAATACTTTTGTTTTTGTTCATTATTCAGTCTATACATGCAAATAAACAAAGGTTTGACTTTGCTTCTCTATGACTCTAATACTTTTGTTTCTATTCTGTTCTCACAAACATTTGCGCATATATCGTAGACATTATTATTATACATACAATGTAATGTAACCCTAGGGAAGAAATATTTTAATAGAAAAAGTTGCAGGGATATTCTGTCATTACCTCAATACAGCCAGCCAAAATAAACAACCTCTACACAAAATCACAATATATATATATATATATATATATATATATATATATACCTATGCCTTTTGTTGATTTTCAGTTCGTTTTTTTTTCCAGAAAATGGTTCCGAGTATATGCCCCTTTCTAATAGTGGACGCTGGTTTCATTTTGTGCGGTACATGTGATATTGGTAAATATTGATTTGAGAATTAAACTTTCAATCAAGAAGTCCAAAAATATCTCAGTTCACCTGCCTTTTGGACATTCAGAAATAAAAAACAAATGAGTACTGAGGCCAAGAGAAAAAAATTGTGTCGTTCCTTTCACCTGACCTATCCTATTTTTAACTGCCTGACCTTGAACTTCTTTTGGCTATATTTGAGAAAAATGTTATAAAATTGTGCCAGGCTTTGAATGAGATTTTACAGGCATCTTTGCAAAACTGGGTAATGTAAACAACTTAAAACATGATTTATGGCACTTGTATCTGGGAACAAAATTACATTTATAAAATATGGTGGTCATTAAAAAGTCAATATTAACATTATTTTTTGTGTTCAAAGTGTTAAAGACATGAAACTAGACACAGAAATATTGAGGTACAAAACAATATCATAGATTATAAATAAGTGCTAAATGTCATCAATTTACAAACTGTTCCCTTTTAAACTTTTCAATAAACATAGAAACTCTGGGCTATTAATAAACATTCACTCAGCCTATCGCGACATCACACGTATAAAAGTATCGAAAGTCTGTAGAATCTAGAAACCCCCGTTTTTAGGGTCAAACCAGTACATACATTTGTATCATCACGTGTTTTACGTGATAAAAGAGTTTGGATCGATGCCAAGTCCACGAGAGTCAACAATGCAAATGGCGGCGTGACCTTACTCGACACATGGAGGTAAAGTGAACATGATAACTTCGTGAACGCTATTTATAAAACAATGAATGCTTGTTTTACTGATATTTCATAGAATGCTTTCTTAATTATTTATCTATAACGTAATCATAGTCTGAAAAAGGATACGTGATGAGGATGCTGAGCTTTCGAGCCTACATATCTGCAAAAATGGTACACGAAAAACATTCGCTCTGGCAAATACACGATTTAGAGCCATGTCCTTGCTTATAATACTGGTCAAATAATACAATCAAATAGCACGATTACCATTAGTAGAAATAAAAGATTCCCAGTCTAGTTATGGTCTGGTCTTTTGATTTTCTAAGAAACGATCACCACGATCAGAAGTATCAAGGAGTGAGGGCATGTGACGTAGTTAACCTTTGTCATCATGCATCACATGATTTGATGACGTAAAATCCGTAGAGGCCAGCGCAGTCGACCAGCAATGCAAGTAAATCAGGGACTTCATGTAGCGAATAGTGGGTGCTTTTATCAGGTAAGTTTCCGCAATTTCGGGACAAAATTGAGTTCTGTTTAGTATTGCAAGGTTGTTGGGTTTTTTTATGAGGACTATTCGCGAATAAAAGGTCTATTATGAGTTTGCAAACGGGGTAAATGTAGGTTTTTAAAAACCTTGTTTTTGTTTTTCTTTTTCAACATGGTGCCTGTTGTGTTCTTACGTGCTGCTGTCGTCCGCGGTTTTCAGAAAACATGCCCTCTTTCCGTTAAAGTTTTCTTCATTCTCGAGTGCATTTGGTTGTCACCCAGACATACTACTTAGAGAATATATGTGTATATGTAAACTACGCTTGTTCTGTGTTTGTTGTACACACTTTTAGGGATAATTTTTGCGTGTTTTTGGGGGGGTTTTGAGAGAACGCTACGCCGAACACTGAACACCGACGATATTCTGTTTACCGCGAGGAACGTTAAGGCTTTGTTCTAATCGTTTAAGACGTCACTTCTTCTCGCATTTCACCAATTATTTTTCAGAAATTATTTATTTTTGTAATATCAGCTGGTACTCAACTTAAAATTGTGCGTTTCTTTATATTTTTGTGCACCACATAATGCTAACATGAATTCCTGATGCAATGTTTTTCTAATTTGCATAAGAATGACTGAGTCACTATACATAATATTTCATATTTCATCAACTTTTTTGCGGTTTCGCGCGATACAATCATCAATGCGGACCTGTACATATTAAATCCTTCGTTTTTCAGTCGAAATCCTAATAGTTTTGCTCTGTATTTGTCTAAATAAGCTGTGGCCTCCGCCCTTCTGTTTTTTTACACCCCATTGTTTACACATTTGTTGGCGAGACAGCCAGCCTACTATACCACAAACGAAGGTCGGTCATCTTACGTTTCCGTTTTGACCCCTATAAACTTGCACAGAGTGACTGTGTACAATCACACCTTTAGTTCGTCCAACTAAGGCTTTCATTCTCTCCCAATAAAACGTGTCAGCCATGTTTATGCTTGCTTTTGGTTCTCATTCAATGGAAATTTCCTATTCCTTTTCTGGCTTTCTAAAATGCAAGAACATATCCAACTGCAGTGACAATCTTTTTGTTTAAATAAGCAACACCTAGTCAAAAAATGTCACTAGCACCTGTTCAATACTCCTATTTTTCAAGGGTACAATTTGATGTCTTCTTGTTTACCAAAACTACGCCTCTATGATTCACAAGCAAGTTACCTTTCCAAATGTTGTGTAATGGTTAATAAATATTTAATTTTAAAAAATTGTTTATTTTCCAGTTTGTTGCAAATGAGAATTCTTTTTAGCTGGGCAATGAAACCATAGAATGCATGTCAGTTTTCACTCCTAGCAATAGGGAATTCCAGAAGTATTGAGGAAAAACACAAAAAAATTATTTTATTTCCTTCGTGAGCACTGTTTTCCTTTGAATGCCTTGTTTAATAGTTTTGAAACTTGTACTTTGAGAAGAAACTCAAATTCTCAATCAATGCAACCAAATAGTGATAATAGACACAATGGTTGCCTGTTTTAGACTACGTCAAAACTGCCTGAAATGCAAAAGTGAAAAAAAGAAATGACAGACACAAGCGATCGTGTTTTGGTCCTTTGTTTTGTTAAACCGTAACGTGCAAGCATACAATATATGATTTCATGGTGGATCTCGTGGCTTGCCCAGTGGGCCCCCTCCCCCCTCTGAATAAAAATCTTTAGTGTGAGAATGTACCTTATTATTTGTGCAAATATTTTTGTAATTTTGTTAATTTAAGTATGAAGTATGCAACAATAGATTTTTAACTTCCGTCATTACTTTAAACTATTATTCCATTGTCTTGGTACCACCCAATGTGTATAAAACATTCCAGTCATAAAATAGCAAGGATTCCTCATTTTAACAATATCCATTCAGTCTGATGAAGTGATAATAATATTCTAATAATCTATATATAGACTTGAATCAGTTTGAGCATACAGGAAGTACATATTTACAAAATGAGATCATAGCTGTATTCTCTGGGTATTCCCCCAATATTATGAAACTAGGCCTTCCCTGAGCATTATATTGTAGGTGATGTCTTAGTCTTTTCTGAAATGCATAAATGAGTATTTGTTGTATATTTGCATATATTATTTTATGTTATGTATGTGGCTGTGCCCCATTCACACATGCATGCGTGATGTATGCGAGTGATTATTATATTCTATTCAGTGGAGACAGTCATTCTGACCTCTGTCATAACACTGTGTAATACCCTGGTTTGAATTGGTGGTCTGGTACACGTCACTTCATGGCAGACATACAAATGCATGGAGATGCTGGTCATCAATAACATGTTATTTTTCTTTCCTTGCACCAAGTTTCTACTTATATTTAGAGTCACAGAAGTACATGTAGATTTGGTTTCAAGAAGGTCAGTCAAATGAACTGTGCAGAGTGGATGAAAAGAAAAATCCTTGTCTGCATTTTTCTATATGTAATGCATATCAGTTTCGGATGTCCTAATTTTAGTTTTTGCTTTTTCTTCCAGTTGTTGAATGCGAAGCAGGCCAGGCTATCTCAGGAATTCACAGATTTTCATCAGGCCTATCAGGTAAATCTTTTTTATTCTGAATTCTTACTTCTAGAATTATTCACAGGAACAAATTTGAATTCAACTTTGATTTTTTGTATTTTTTTCATTTTGTTTTACTTATTTGCGTCTTTACTTTGCTAGTCTAGCTGGAAAAACAAGTTACTGATAAATTTTTGCTATGATTTCATAACTTAAGGTTAATCACATGGGCTACTTTTCACAAAAGGATTTTTGACTTCCGTTTATAATAATTCCACTGTCTGTGAATTTGATGACCAGCAAAATAATGGGGATTAACATAATATTTCTGTGAGCAGAATTTTTATCTTGGTGTAGTTGAATTAAAATTAAAAAGCAGTAAAATAAATAATGTGTTTACAGTTCACAAATTTAACAAGTTAAAAGAATATATTGTTTCTGCCACAAACTAATTATCCATGCAAAGTAAATCCAAAATTCAGAGAATTAAACCCAATCAGTATTTATTTTTTCTTTTACTGAAATACAACACAATTGTTGTCATGGCAACTATTAGTAGGATAATCATTTAATTGCCGAGGTCACCTGCTGTTATGTGCTAATACACTAAATTGTTTCTGTTTTCAGCTACAAACAACAATGCCTTCATCTGATATAAACAAGAATTTTCTTGAGCCAAGGCCAGCCATGAGTAGCGGGGATAGTAGTAGTGGCGGTGATAATGATAATTCACGGAGGCCAACAACATTGGTTTATGCACCAGTACCAGGTAAATACGCACAGCAGTCATAGCTTCTAAATATCCCTGCAACCTATTGATTTTTACCATGTTTGCACCAACATTGTTTATTCCAATCTTGATAAATTTGTATTTCTTTCTTACTTTCAGATGGTAATAACAGTACATCAGGAGTATGCCATCTGAACAGACAGGGGAAGAAAAAGAAGCGCAAGAAGAAAAGAAATTCAGAAATTATTCCAAGCAGGTTTGAAGGTGAGCCCATTGACTGTGTTCAGTTCTAAAAGATTACAAGCAAGCAAGATTACAAACTGTTTTCCACTTAATCTTATCAATGTGGTAATTTTATTTTGCAAACTTTAATTCCATAGATTTTTACCAGATGACTGGTGAAGTTCTTGGCGAAGGTGCTTATGGCAGTGTCAAAACCTGCATAAAGATTTCTTCCAATAAGCAATATGCTGTTAAGGTAAAACTTATCTTCAGACTAATTCAGTTTTCCTCTCAGCATTAATTATACAATGTAATTGATGAATAACATGTCATGCAAAACATTCAGTTGTGCTAATCTGAGACTTTTAGTTGTGCCACTCGTGTACATGTATGCAACCACTTCAAATGATTGGTCACTACATATGCATGATTCTAACAAATTCTATAAAAGAATACCCTCTAATTGAAAATGTGTCAAGCATGCATATTGAGAACAACATTGGTAACAGCTATGTATAATTTATGGTCCAGGTAATTCAGAAGAAAACTGGGAGAAGTAGAGGAAGAGTGTTCAAAGAAGTTGAAACAGCATATTACTGCCAAGGACAAAAAAACATTCTTCAAATGATTGAATTCTTTGAAGATGACGATAGGTAAATAAATACTTAAATAGGACACACATAGGTCTCACTCTGACAACTTAGTAGTTGAATAACATTGATATATTTTGATATCATCTGTCTTCAGGTTCTATCTAGTGTTTGAGAAGATGTATGGAGGACATTTACTGAGTCACATTGAAAGAAAGAAAACATTTACTGAGCATGAAGCTTCCTTAGTTGTCAAAGATATTGCCTCAGCTTTGAGGTTTCTGCATGATAAAGGTATGCATTTTGTGACTAGGTTTTATTATCTTGAAGGAAAATGTAATAGTGACATTAACTTTTTAGCTCCGCTGTCGACTTTGTCGAGCGGAGCTTATCATATGAGTGATTGTCCGTCTCCGTCGTCCGTGTCAATGTTTTACTTTTTCGACTTCTTCTTGAAAACTACAAGCCTGAATGCTTTGATACTTGGTGTATGTGTACCTTGGGTA